ACCAAGAGAAAGAAAAAATCCTCCTCTCTCTTAAAAATAATTAAAAATAGTTACATATATAGTAGCAGATCATGCCATATGAAATAAAAAATATGTCTATTAACATATGACCAATGTCAACTATGTCTAGATGAGACAGACAACAAATCATATCCTACACAACAGCCATGCAATAACTAGGAAAAGTGCTTAAGGTGAAATCCCTACCATCAAATTCATTTTTTGGCATAATTTATAGCCATATTAGGACACGAATCTTTTACTAAAGAACACAACAGAAATTGCAAAGATAAAATAAATTATTCGCAAAAACCCAAAAGTAATCTCTACAGAAAATTAAAAACACACACAGGTTTATTTACAGAGATAAGAAAACATGTTTTATAAAACCAGCCAATGTAATTTTACAAAAATCACAAAAGGGCAAAAAACTAAGACAAAACCTACCTTCCAATTGCATGAAATTTTAAATTTTAGATATTAATAAAAATGTTATTTAAAAAAGAAATATTCTTAAGAATTATTGTTAAAAATTTTAAGAATTATCATCAAAATCTTATTGTATTTATAATTTTAGGTTATTGAAGTTCTTTCGTATAAGGTATTGAATATTTGTAAAATTTTCTCTTCCTAAGGGGAAGTTCTGGTTGTATTACTTTTGTCCTCTTTCAGAGGTCTTCTGAAGAGAGATTTTTATCATCTGATGACACAAGTTATAGATTTGTACAGATACATGAGTACATTTATATCTATGTGTTTTCGATGAATTTACAATTTTTAAAAGGTTTCCTCCTAGCGTTTTGCGAAGTTTTAATGTTCTAGTACTAGGTTTGCTCAAATTTTGTGTAAGAATCACGCACGTTCTTTATTTAAAAAAAAACTCCTGTTAATATTAAACAATATGAACTTGAAGTGAAATGATGAAATGCATATCGGATAAAAAATAAGATTAGATGTAAGGGGGAAAGTTTACAAATTCACGGAAACAATCTATTCACAAACACAATTAGAAGTTGTTTTTCCACTCAGAGAAAAGTGGAAAAAAACTAATCTGGCCTGTCCCTAACAGAGAGGTTTTCTGTATTATAGATTGTACGACGAAAGGACAGTCTTGTCCTTTATTTAGAGTGCCCCCTAACTAGTTGCGTTAAATAATTTCCATACTGACAAATTCTGTAAACTGAGGTTTTAAACCGAAGAGTTATCATAGGTTTCATTGAAATTTTGAGTCCAAACAGTACTACTTTCTTGGCTTTGTAGTTTGAATAATAATTATTTTGCCTTAATTTTTTATTATTGTATTATTAATAGTTAATGTTTCTATGTAATTACGGACTTCCCATCATAGACGAAATTTAAAAAAAAACATCAATTTCTATTCTGTCAAGGTTTAATATTTGAGTCGTTGACACGGCGCTCATCACAAAAATTGCCGGGTTTTTAAAGTCAAAATTGACTCATATTTTAATTCACTTTTTTTCAAAAATGCCGGCACCTGAGGGTTTTGAGTAATTTCGTTGTACAATACGCTACTAAAAGTGATGTGTTTTAAAGTTTATTTTCCAAAAATTGCTCTAATTTTTATTATTGAGATGTGGTTTTGCAACATAAGGGAAGTAACCGTAGAAGAAGGGTTACTTGTTAATATGAAATTGCCACCTTCTGAGAACATGTCAAACGTAAAAATCGAAAAAAAAAACAGTGGCGCAACTATTAACCCATGTGGCACACCCGCAACTTCTTTTACTTCAGACGTCTCTAAACCCAGGCTTATTGCATAAAATCATTCTTTGGGTATGATTACATAATAAAATCATAAGTGAAGTTTCAATAATTTTAACTTGTATTTTCCGCACTTAGGCCTAGGCCTGAAAGAACATCTAAAAACACTCCCGCGTCATGTCCTGTTTCTGTGTTTTGACTCTAGTCATGAGGTAATTAATAATTCTTTCAAATAATTAAACAATTAAAAGGTCGGCAGGAAAATTATGTGTTTATATTTCTATTTTCCTTGGGGATCATTTTAATGTAAAAAAAGTACTTCGTTGAATAAAGAATTCAGAAATACGACAGGATTTTATGAAAAGAACATGGAGAATGCTTTTATTAAATCAAGTAGTGCCATAGTCGAGGTGTCAGTCGTATATTTTTTTTTTGTCGACTCTGTCGTGAAGTTTTAATACCTTTGAGAAATTTTCTAAAAATTTTGGACTTTATCTGAAACAATCCAAATTTCATCACCTTTCTAGAAAGGATGTGTGACGACGTTATAAAATTTAGTTCTATTCCAGTCTCCCGTCTTCATTTTTCAGCTTCATACGTTTGTTGGTTAACTATTTTCATTTTTTTCAGTTTATTCAAAAGTTTATTCGTAAGTCTGAACAAGTATGTTGCCAAAGTATTCTTTTTCGGCTTGCCTTATACATGGAAGAATTTCTTTTTCTCTAAACACGAGAAGAAAGATTCTTATACATTTTGAATTATTTCAAAATATTTTAACCGCACGTTTTCCAGTTCTTATAGTTTTTTATGCTAGTAGAAATCAAAGGTTTATTATTTAGCAAAGAACGAAGTATTTTCACAAGCTAGTTCTTGCTCGGTTATGCTAAACCTGCACGCCCTTAGTAAGTTGAAGGTGACATATAACTCCGACGCCTTCTTTTAACAAAGTTTTCCATCTAATTACTTTTTATTTTTAATAGCACTTAACATAATATAACAACCACTGACATAGAAGAATTTTAGAAAATTATAAAATGAAAAAATTCTTTAATATTAGTTCACATTGAAATGATTTTACAGTGCAGATAGACATTTTTCTTAAATTTATTTATGATCCCACCTTGAGTTGGCTAAGCTCCGTAGGATTAATTACAGGTATGTTAAAAAGTAAAATCGTGATCCAGATTAATCTTATAGATAAGTGAAACACACATTGCCGCCCTGCTAAGAAATTTATATTTTAACCACTTAATCTTTTATGTAAGATTTTGGTTGAAATGAAAAAGAGTCACGAGCGGAATTCGAAAAAGATTAAGTAATTGAAAAACGTAATTTGGTCAGTAGACCACTAATTACAATAGATTTATATTTTAATTTTAGCCTGTTTTTATAATTTTGAACTTTTGGAGAAATACTTACTTTATAAATGTTAAATATTAAATAATAATAAATCGTATTGATTGAAATGATATTTTAAAAAGAAATTGAAATAAAAAATGTATATTCAGGAAAATTTTGTTGTCGGAGAGTGCAGTTGTGTTAATGAAAAACTGAAAAAAAACTACTTGCCATCTTTCATTTAAAAAAAAGCTAAAAAATTTCTAAAAAATATATTAAATAAAAACAATCATAAAAATTTAAACTAATTATTTTACTAAATTTGTTTTTATCATTGTAAAGCAAATTATTTATTTTAAGAAATTAACCAAAAAGCCAATTGTAAGGCGTAAATGATTTGAAGCACAAGATGAGTAAATTGTTGATATTATTTTGTCCTGGGGGAAAAAGGTTAAAGAAATAAAAAAGCCCTATGTTTTTTCGAATAGAACGTTGAAAGAGGTGAACACAACAAAAGTTAATGTAGCACATTGCGGGTGTAATATCGATGTTTTGGCATTTTAGTCTTGTACGTCAGCAGAGGGAGAAATATCGACAAACTAGAATTGTGGATGAAACGTTCGAACCTTTGCGTTTACCGATCCGGTTGGAACATTTCCATATTTGTATTTTAAAAGAAAACAATATATTGAAGATTAAAAATTCCTCGGGTTTATTATTCGGGTTTTTTACTTCTTTCTGGGTTGATAAGGCTTTAGGATGTTGTCAGTTTTGCAATTAGCCACTCGCTCATAGCGTGCTCGCAGGCACGACATCTTACAAAATAATCATTCCCAACATAGAAACCGCATAAATGTATATAACGTAAACAAAACTGAAAAGTACCAAAGGAATTGTTATATTGAACATTTTCAAACGTTCCTTTTTTTAAACATTGTCGTAATAAATTATAAAGTTTTATCGAATAATGTGTTAAAACATCTTAGGTTATAAAAATCTGCTGAAACGGGGCTTGGTCAAATAGTAAGTGGGTCGAGTAAATCCTTGAGAAATGTCGGTTAGAGGAGGGTTACAGCAATGCGACACCAAGCGCCCCACTTGGCTCATCCCTTGATTATATCACTCGACAGGCTTTTAAAAACGTATCTCAATAAAAATTTCGTATCAATTAATTAATTAACTAAAAAGTAAGGGGAAGAAATTTTTCTATGGTGGAAACTGTAGGACGTTTTTCTCCGGATCGATGACGCTAAGAATAAATTTTTTTAAGGTTTTTTCTGTTTAAAAAAATTTACTTGGCAATTATTCAATGGGGGAAATTTTGGTTTTAATTAGTATCGGTAGACAAATTTATTAATACAAAACGCACATGAATGCATGTAAAATATATATTATATTAATCAAATCCGACTAGGAAAATTTCATTTTTCCGATTCTTTTGTCCAAGAGGGAAAGATTTTTCGATTTTTCTATGAAAATTCTTAGAGATGAGTGGGTCACCTGAGAAGGTTTAAGCTATGGTCAAAACGCATGCGCTTCACGCTATACCAACTTTTCTGCTAATATCAGGGATTCCCACCAAGCTAAGAAAAAAGTTTTAGGTTTTATTTGCAGGTGCCGTGCGAAGTGATGTATAATTGAACTGTCAATCAATGCATATATATTTTAAATTCAAAAGCAAACAGTCAATGAAATTTAATAAAAATGTAACAATTTTTTAATAATGTTTAAACAAAAAGTATTTACATGTTCAATGAGCGAAAAAAATTGATGATTTCTAGCTGAGACAGCAAATTCATCGGCTTAGGAAATAAAATTTAACTTTTCGTGCTTGCTCTTTATATAAAATAAAAATTGAAAAAAAGCGAAGTTTTTTTAAAGGATTAGGTGTTAAGCGAACCAATTTTGGGCAGAGTGTAGCTTATATTCTGTTTACGTACCTTCTAGGGTTCCAGGAGGCTCGTTTTTGGCCAGCCTAGATCAAAAACATAACACACACAACACTTCAGGGCATCTAATAGTGGTAGGAGGCTAATGCTACTTTGCTGATGTCCAGGCTGTACCCTCCCACCGTACAGCTATCACCCGAAGAAACGGAAAAAAACAACCAAGGAAAAACGTGACCACTAAATAAAAGAGAAAGCACAGCCGTGGTCGTTGTGCGGTGGAGATGGGTAAGGCCTGCCGCCAGACTGCGCTGAGCCTCCCCTCTACTGGTCGATACAACCCGCCCCCACCCCTCAAAAATTACATTTGACACACTTGTGCAAAGTCCATTCACCAACCCCCTCCACCAACAACTAAATATTACATTTCACTATTTAAATAATCCGATTTCGAAGAGAAATGAACTCCTTTTTACATGTTTACCTGCACAGAATTGATCGAGAAGGGTGTTTATCTTTTTTTCTTTAAACAAGGGTGGAACCACCAAAATAATGTCTAAAACAGTATCCAGGCATAAATTGATAACACCATCAAGTTTTAACTTTATCAAATCAAAAAAGCTAATAGTTATCAGGTGTATAAACATTTTATTAATTCGTGACATTTATGTTTCGTACCTCCTTAATATATCTTGAAAAATAATAATGAGCCCTAACAAAAAATCAACTTGTGAAAACAGTCCCTGTTATCTTTCAAAATCGATCATTGCGTGTGGAACGGAAACAGTATTGAAACTACCACTTACTTAACAGTTCCGTCCTTGATTATTAATTAAAGCAACAATATAAATGCAAATTTAATAGCATTAGTTTTATTACAAATTCATTTAATACATACACAATTCGAAAATCACATAGATTTCTTTATATAAGAAAAACATACGCACAACCATAACTGCAAATTTTAAGCACTATATATTTCAACTGATATTGTTATTTGATTGATGTTAACACGTAAAGTTTTAAACAAACATCTGCAAGGGTGCAACCGTAGAGGAACGAAACTTAAAATTCTTGGCTTTTCTGAAATCATTGTTTTTTTTACAATATAATTTTTTTAAATAAAATATAATAATAACATTGTCTGTTTTTTAAGTATAAACTTAAACTATTTTCGTTTGGGGTTTCTTATGGCTGGATATAAATGCGGCGCTTGAACAACCATTCCGCCTGACTGATAAATTATGCGGGTTTGCCTACTAACAGCCCCTTTTCTTAGAGGAATTGAATTCAGAAAATCATCATTATAAAATATTCCCATATAATTTTAAAACAAAGTAATATTTATTGACTATGCTTTATACCTATATCTGTTATTGTTATATTGATTAACGTTGAAGTAAAGTTTTAAACGAATATGGGCGAGGGTGCAACCGTACAGGAACGAAACTTAAAATTCTTGACAACTCAAATCATTATTTTTTTACAATATAAATTTTTTAAATAATATATAACACAATTGCTTGTATTTTATGTATAAACTTAAACTATTTTCGTTTGGGGTTTCTTATGGCTGGATATAAATGCGGCGCTTGAACAACCATTCCGCCTGACTGATGAATTATGCGGGTTTGCCTACTGAAAGCGCCTTTTTTTAGAGGTATTGAATTTAGAAAATCGTCATTATAAAATATTCCAATATAATTTTAAAACAAAGTAATATTTATCGATTATGCTTTATACCTATATCTGATTAACGTTGAGGGTAAAGTTTTAAACGAATATGTGCGAGGCCCAACTGTAGACGAACAAAAAGTAAAATTCTTGACATCTCAAATCATTATTTTTTACAACATAAATTTTTTAAATAACATCGTAATTATAAATTTAAAATATTGTGATATGGGATTTTTTGTTGTTGAATATAAATACTGCTCTTGAACTGCATTCCACCTGACTGATAAATTATGCGGGTTTGCCTACCTACACCCCACTTTTCATAGGAGTATTCAACCCACAAAATCATCATTATAAATATTCAAATAAAATTTTAAAAAAGTAATATTTATTGACTATGATTTATACCTATATCAGTTATTATTGTTATTTGATTAACCTGGATAATAAAGTTTTAAACGAACATGAAATTTAATGTGCAAGGTTGTAACTGTAAAGGTAGGTAACCCGAGAATTTAAGTGACTGAAGCTCATATCAATATTATTTTTTGAAACAATACATTTTTTGACAAGAAAAAAATTAACAATTTAATTATAAATTATAACCATTTTTGTATTTTCCTTTTTTTCCGCCCGGCTTAATTATATACAACACGTATTATGCACCAATGCACAGCGGGAAGCCCGACTAGGCGATTTTCACCTTGACGACTTACATTTATTCACGCTAATAGATACATTCACACAATAAAATTCAAGCATTCAGTATCCTAAGTTAAGCTAATTGGATCGACAGTCCTGTGGGTGCTCGATATTCCACACAGACAGTATCTATACTCACAACCTTTGACGCAAATAAATACACTCACACAATTGGGTAGTCACCAGGGTTTTTTATTACGCCAGTGACTACCTGACACCCTGTAAATATATAAAACCTAAATAACCTAGACTACTTTGGTGTGTTTATGGTTACTGGATATTCCATCACAGCCACAGGAAAACACACTATAACGTTCACGCTAATAAATACAATCGATTAAATTAAGGATATTTTTAACCTACAAAAGGGTTTCCTATATGCGACCTATTAGTTTATCCCCTTCACGTATCAAATCCTTTTTATTATAATCAACACTGTGCCATAAATGTTAAATCTGTAGGCAGCCAGACATTATTCTTTGCGGTGTTAATTCCTCGCATTCTATCAGTATTTACAGATAATTGTGCGCAAAAAGGGCATCTTCACGGTTCTTCTTTGGCAAGGAGAAGCCCATGTGTCATCCTGGTGTGGCTTATCAACAGGCGAGTCAATATGATTCAATGTTTATCCCATTTCCTCCACGGTCTACGATTTTTCCCACAGTTTTATTTCATGTTGTTTGCCGGCCTGGTTTGCCCAGCTGTTCTGCCATTCTTTCCACCGTCCGTTTTTAAGATAATTTTTCCATATGCCGTATAATTTACACTAAAAATATTAAAATACGCAGAGTGAATGTCAGAGATATCACGCGCCTAATAGTAAACTTTTTTTTAATTAGGCATATTTTTCTTTGGTCTAGTCATTCATTTCGAAATGAAATAGTACAGAAAAATTTCAATCTTACAATCAGGAAATTTAAAGTATTATACAAAAAATTAAGCTTAAAATTGGCAATAAGATACATTTCAAAGTTAGTTTCTGTAAAACTACAGCGTTTATTGCTAAACAAATATTTGTAACTGGAAAAAGTCATTTCAATGACGACAGAGGAGACGGAACAATGCTTGCAAGAACTTAAAATACCTGGATCATCGATTCCCAGTATAACGACTTTACTGCTACCATTTAAGGTTTCATTAATCTTCCAGAATTCAGTCAATTTTTTTGTCAAGGATATAGTTACTGCATCGTCGGGGATTTTAGTAATTTTTTTTTTGGGTTGAAATGAAAAATTCAATATACTATTTTATAACAAGTTGGAAAATCCGCTTTTGGCCTTATTTTTAGATTTAATACGTTGAAAATATGAAAGAAGGGTATTTTCCCATTTCAAAGACTATTTTAATGTTTTAAATGAGCGCCCTATTTACACAACCTGACTTCAGAAAAAGTAATTTTTCAGGAAAGGCAAAAATCGTATGTAGAAGTTTTGGAAATAGGGACGTCAAAAAAGATGTTGGTTATTTCAAGAGAATTTTATTGTGTCAGTTTGTTTTCGTCTTTGTTCCCGGAATGTTAAAATTCATCATATTTTCTTCCTGATTAATTGCTTTGTTTAAGCCTAAAATTTATTTTCTTACTGGAAAAATTGTTGACGTAAAACACAACTTATTTTCTTAATTTATATCTAGATGTAGTTCTATCTTCTTGTATATTGATTCATATACGAATTTTTATACAGAAACTTGTCTTTGTACACTATTTTCAATTTATCAGTATAATCTGTTATAACTTTCACTTTACCATATTCAATTTGATACGGTCTAAATTTAATTTTTTAACACAACTCTATCACTTCCTGATACCAAGACAAATTATTTTCTTACGCATATTGAGTCAATTTCTAATTAAGTTTTGAATCCTCTACACTAATATCTTGCAAACATAATTTATGTTCAGAAAAATTATATACATAAAAATATGTCTCTCTTTTTCCAGATGCAGGTTGTTCGGCTACTTACAAACTTTTCCATTAGATTTTACATACAAAAAGGAACCAAAAAGTCCTAGTTAACTATGGTCCAAATTTCAACACTTTAGGAGTTATTTCACTTTTTCTGATTTTTTTACATTTCACGACCTTGCTTCAAATAAACAATGATAACTCCAAAACTAAAGGTTTTTGGACAAATCTGTTGATATTATTGAAAACTACGTTAAATTCCCAATAAGATGTGATCATTACCTAAACTTGTAAACCTTCGTAAAATAAGCGTTTTAGTAGCGAGAACTTTGAAATTTTTTTTTCAAAGTTGAAAAACTTACTATGGCGATTCTAAACTACTATTTCCAAACCTAGAGACCAGAAAATTTCAGAAAACGTACTCCATTTAATATCCTTTTAAATGGTGCAATTGCTTTTTTATTTTTTTTTAATATGCAGAAATTGATGAAGGAAAATAAAAAACTGTGTTGAAGGATTGGTAAGGTGGAAAGATTAATAACAACAAAAAATAAAAAACTTAAAGAAATTTTGAATCAATTTATTAAATTTTTTAAATCTTGATACTAAAACGTTTATTTCACGAAGGTTTACAAGTTTAGTACTGATCACATCTTATTGAAAATTTAACGTTGTTTTCAATTTTATGAACGGATTTGTCCAAAACCTTTTAGTATTGGAGTATCATTGTTTATTTACAGCAAGGTCGTGAAATGTTAAAAAATCAGAAAAAGTCGAAAAACTCCGAAACTGCTGAGATTCGTACCATTAATTAGGACTGTTTGGTTCCATTTTGAAGGGAGAATCTACTGACAAAATTTATCTACTCGGGTTATAAACGTGTTGAAAACGAACACCCTGCATAATATGTAATCAGGTGTATTTTGGGATAACGAGACCATGTCCTTTAGAAATTTCTTTTCTGCGTACTTCTCTTAATTAATTTTGTAAAGACAGTTTAGAAATTAAATATTACTGTTTTGTAT